CATTCTAAAGGAACAAAGCCTGTAATTCACCTTAAGTACTATCCAAGGAGAAACTAATTCCTTTCAGATGCAGGGTCAAGTTTTATGTGGAGTCATCTTGACCTGTAATCAGTTTGGCTATGAATAAACATATGTGCTCTAAGGACCCATAGAGAGAAGATAAAATATGATCACTAACACGTCCAATCCAACTCTCTTGGAGCTCTGTGGAAAGGCTGATTTTGATGGGATTTGGATGTAATTCTGTCATTCAACACAGGTGCTTTCATTCAGGACATTTTGGTTCTCTCGGTGTCAGAAAAAAATGCAGCCCACATTATCATCTGGAGAAACCAGAAAAGCATGGTACTTGTCAAAATTAAGCTAGAAAATCTTTTAGAAAGAGTTGTGTAACCGCCAATTGAGTCCTTCTCTGCTGGTGGTGAACACTAGTTCAAGTGCTAGTTTAAATTGGAAAAGGTTTTTCAGCACAGCTGGAAAAAGCAGGGAGAGATTTTGTGAAGCTGGAGGTTTCTACTTTTGTCCTTCCATGAGTGGCACTTTGTTTAATATATGAATTCTGGGGCACTCATTGATGACAATCATCACTAACCAGTGGTTCCACTTCCTAAAGTGTAGGGAATAAAAATACATAATTGCATTTTGCAATGGTCAGTGCATTAACAAAAGAGGTCCCTATTTCAGTGATTTCTATAACTACCAACAAAATGACCCAAATTGCTCTTTCTCAGACACACCAGCTATAAAACTGAATTCACTTCACAATGCTGAGATCCATGGGCTAAGTTCTTCCTGATGCATGACAAACAGGGCCATAAAAATTTTAAATCATATTTCTGATTGTTAGAGCCTTGGAAAAGACATAAAGAAAAATATCACTTTCCATGACTTGAAGTATTTGAATTTCAGCTTCTGACTGGAACAGAAGCTGGGGAGGGAGGTTGTAGAACCTTTGAGGCAAGGATAGAAGGAGCTCTTTAAATCAGATAGTCATACCAATCCACTCTGACCATAATGACATTGGACAGTAGATCAATGGCTGAGCATAACTTTGGCACTCTATATAGCCTGTTGATAATATTTTGTTTCACAAAGTTTGTGTCACAAAACAGTCTGAAAATGAAAGCAAAATTCCTTGTGGAGAAAAGTCAATATCAATGATTCTTTCCACTAAGCAGAAGGAAGGACCCCACAGACTCTTGTCAGACAGGATTCAGCTGGAATATTTGTGCTTTTCAGTGGCTTATCCTCAGCCCCCAGCAGGACAGATCCTTGTACCCCAGCCATCAGTCCCCACAGTCCACTGGGGCGTTGCAGCCTGGGGAAGGGGGAGTAAAGGGGATCCCTGGAAGAGCAGCTCTGGTGTCAGGGCACACCTAGGCCACCCAGGACAGTCTGTCAGTTCAGTGCAATGCCAGCTCCTAGTGGCACTGACACTGCCTGTTCCTTCATCCTCCCCCTTTCCAGCTGCATGCCAGACACTTCCTGACTCCTACTGGCCACTGAGCCATTCTTTCTCTAGGAGTTCAGGTTGGCTGAGTGAAACCCATTCTCCCGTCCTCAGGATAAACATTGAAAAGTGATGGAGCCTTGCAATTTTGCCAGTTACTCTGAAACTGCCCTTAGGAAAGGGTAGCAAAAGCCAAAAGCAAATCTGTATACCCAATTGAGGGAGAGCAGCTCTGCTGTCTGTGGAAACAGTTGGACAGAAATGAAGGGAAACGAAGCGTGCCTCACATGTGACTGCTCCATTGGCATGGTCCAGCTGAGAAGGTGCCAGCCACTGTCAGCCCTTCTGTTGAGGACACTTTCATCCAACCTGGTGTCCTCCATTTGTACTCTTAGAAGAGGATGGGGTTGGAGGACATCCTAGTTTCTTTCACAACCCAGCTCCACACCTGGGCATAAGTCAGATTCTGAACTCTCCCTGCTTTTTTGTTTATTAGCCTAAGCAGAAACATCTCTACCTCCCTCACATAAAGTCTTTGCCTGTTACACCTACTTTGCACAGGCAATTCCACTCTCAACTGGTCACTGCTGACCAGAAGCAACCACACCCAGAATAAACCTTGGCAGAGTACTCATAATTACAGAGCTTATCATAATTACTTTTGCAGGGATATTATTCAAGGGCAGGAATAAAGCTTTTCACATGTAAAATTTTAGTTCTGCATTTACATCCCTCCGCCTTGTTAATCTTTTTTAATAGGATGGCACAACTGCACAGATACCTGCAGTGTATTACCATCGGTCAGTTTAGATAGAATGGTAACCAGCTCTGAGAAGGGAATGAATTTGGGATCCTCACATCATCTTCTCTCCTACAAGCTTGACTTTAAAGGTTCACTTGGAAGACAGTCAGCTGGATAGCAGGATGCAGTCAAATTTTCTGGACTCTGAAAGCAGACACTCACAGGCTGGGTTTCCCTGGAAGCACCTGTCAGACCCCACATGGCTGCAAGAGATGCAGCTGACTCAAGGCACACAAGGCAGAAAATCTGTAGCCAAGCTGTCTGAAGCAGTTGAGGGAAGAAAAACCTTCAGTCATCCAGGCTGGAAAATTACAGTGTTTGCTTTTCGCAAGGTACAGTAACACCTACATAGTTTGCCACTGAAAAATTATATTTACAGTCTGTTGAGATGAAATAATGTACTTTAATCCATGAAATTCAGAAAAGCTGAAATGCTACTTTTTAAATAGCATTCTCTGTTGACTGAAAGTTTTTACTGCAGACTGTAAGACAGCAGTAAATGTAGTCCCTCTTCAGAACCTGAAAGCTAGAGTGGCAGTGCTGACATATGAAATAGTGAATAATACAATTAAAGTAGTCTGCTTTCCTTCTAATATGAGCTTGGAGATGTCAGTGCTAGTACTCTTCAGAGTAATAACATTGTGCATTATTAAAGACAAGATCTCAACAGCTGTTTAATGTTAATACAAGATACCTAAACACATTCTGAGAGGCTCCATGTCAGTCCAATATAGGCACTGCAATTTTAACTTACTAACTTCTCTTGCACTCTAAAAGTTTATTTCCTGTTTTGTCAGGAATCATTAATCTTTAAAAAAAAATCTGAATGTTCAGAAAAGAGCTCCTAAAATCTACCCACAGTTCTCCATATCCCTATTTGAAGAAAGTTACTCCAGAGTCAGCCAAACCTCTGTCCCTTCCTAGGGCCTCGGTATTCATACCTTGTCTCCATTTTGCCTTGAGTAGAATTCCACTGCTCCTCTTTTCCAAGACCGAGCAATACTGGCAGCAGCTGTGGTTCCTAAAGAGCCTCATGCAGGATCTGAGTTTAAATTCTAGCTGTTCACACACTGTGTACTAGCATATGTTATAAGCAACTATAAATTGTGTACAGATGTGTTCCAGAATTCCAGTGAAGCCAAGCTAACAACACTGAATAACAGCTCGTGTGCTTTGTAATTATACATAATGCATTTGCTGTCATATAACAGAGTCCATCTCAGTGTCAGGATTTATCCACTAGCTTAGGAAGCAAGGATTAAGAATTATAGCGTAAATTTTTAAGCAAGATTTTTAATACAAGATATGCAAACCAAAGAGAGATGACTGATTTCTGGGGAACATTTCATGTAAGAGATTTTGATTAAATGAGCACACAAGCCAGGGCTTAAAAAAAAAAACTGTTTAGAACACTCTTGAAGGTCTAAAGACAAAAAACATTTACATATAAGTGAAAACAAAAAGTAAGCAAACTTTGGCCCAGCTGGAAAAGCCAAGTGCCAACAAACAGGAAACAGAGGGAAGCACAGTAAAGGATGGGGTGGGGCAGGGGAAGGAGCAGGGCAGGCTGCTGTCAAAAGAAGATGACTCTAATGACCAGGAAGAGCAGGGCTGAAGGGAGATGAGCATCCTTAAAGCACCCTGTACATATTCTCTGCTGTACTCTTGTGCAAAACTGATTCTTTTCTTAGAGAGAAGATTGCTCTCTGCAAATTAGAGTTTGAGCAATAAATGTTGGGAATATTGACCATCTTTGTTGCATGGAGAGGGAAGGCCATCATTGCTCACATATCAGATGTGCCCTTTCCATGAGTCCAACAGCAGCACTGCTTTTCTTCTCTTCTGACCAGTGGCAAACACCAAAAAATACACAAACCTGACTAGAATAATCCTTTTCTTTAAGCTGCGTAGACAAATCAGTAGAGGAAAAAGAAAGGTCTGAACACAGTATCAAAATGTGAGCATAGGTTAGTTAGCAGCTGGCAGAAGATCAGACTTTTATGGCCTGCCCCAGTTAGAGCCCTCAGGAAAAGCATCTCAGTATGTGTTTTAAGTTAATCTAGATCAAGCTCTGGTCCCACTGTCCTGCCAATTTCCAGCTTTTTATGCCCTTCTCTGTGACTTTAGCACAAGCACTTATTGGAGTACATAGTGAGGTGGTTTGCAGTGCTGGAAAAACTGAAAGCTTATGAAATGAAATAATTAGCTTTCAGCAGGGTAAGTTCCCTGGATGGGATCCACGTGAAATCAGAGAGATGCCAGGGCTAATGCAAGAGTGGGGACAGAGGTGTGCAGCCTTGGTCCACAGGGAATGTACAGGTTACAGTTACCCAGCCCTAGATTGCCTTGAGCTGCTGTGGAAGCACACCCTGATGCCTCTCACAAAATATCACAAGCTTCTTTGCAACCCCATAGATAAAATTCTGCCTCTTTGGCTAATCGAGAGAGACACCTTCTCTTACAAAATAAGATGTTTTGTGGTTCCTCTACCCCAGGTTGCTTTCCTGATTGAAAGAGGGCTTGTAGGTTTAATGAGAGTACTCTCCAGTAGACAGTAGCAGCAAATCATTAGTGAACAGCATCAACTCTGACAGAGGCACAGCTTTCGAGATTCATCCTGTGTTTGAAGGTGATTTGCTACATCAAAGCTGAGAAAATTTATTAATAAGGCAAAGGGAAAAAACTCTGGAACTTTGATTATATCTTGTTTTTTTTGTTATTGAGCTTACCTTTTGGTATAGCTCTTTCTTCTTGTATTACACATTCCAGTGCATTTCTCCATATGCAGAGTATTTGCATCATTTGGCAAAGAACATGAAAACCTAAACGATGATCAGACTGTGCTAGAAAGGGTCTGTTAACAGTAAACACAGGCAGTTAAATCACATCATATTAAATCAGCAACATTCTTATCCCTGAAGCATGGCATCTTATTATTTATGGACTATTTATTCTTGACTCTTTGGTCTCCTTATATCTCATGAGCCTGATTAGCTGCATATTTGATGGTTTCATTTCCTTCTTTCTGAAATTCCTTGGATTAATCCATGGCAGGTCATTTTGCTAACCCACTTTGTCCACACTTGTGATACTGCTTGGTACCCTCAGAGTCTACCTTGCAACGTTGATATAGCTTAACACTGGCTGGTCTCCAGCCCTTCTCTGCCACAAACAAAAAGATGAATACTCCTGTCCCTTATCTGGGAGGGACAGATGCAGCTCTACTTCCTAGCTCAATTTTAACTGCATATTTCTGAAAGATTTAGTGCTATATACAAATTCAAAGTGAATCTTTTGAAAACATATCTATGGAAAACATGTAAAAGCACAGAACTAACCCTAGAAAGGGCTGTGGCTCTAAAAATCTCAGGTAACATTAGATTGTCTGCCTACAGACAGTCAATCACCAACATAGATTACTGCTATTTTATTGTCCTACTGCCTTTTATTGTGCTAGATGCTTTATTATTTCTTTGAGTCTTCTCTTAAGGCAGACTATATTTGAACACTTCATTCAGCAATGGTTGCTGATTTTCTGGAAGAACTAGTCTGAATTACATACATTATGTCACACATTGATGATGGCAGGAGGCAGCAAACTCTGATACCACTTTCTGGCCAGGATAAACTGCAATAGAAAACTCGGTGACAAGTTACACTGGAGGAATTTTTGCAAGGGATGACATTTCATCTGAGTCCTGAACTTACCTTAAAGCATGTCCAATGTTGGGCAATGGAGTTGAGTGGAAATGGTGCAGGACTTCACAAAGGACCTGCCACCAGCTGTCAGACCAGAGTCATTGTGCCAGACCTGGTGTCAAGTACACAGCATCCAGGGTGACTTGGTAAGAAAGAAAAATATAGTAAGGAATAAAATATGAAGGTAGTGTTTTATGCATATAGAATAATCTTGGTCTCAACAACAACAAAACAGCTCTTGTTACTGGCTCTAGGTGCTTTAATACTTTTTGTAGAAAAGCAGCACAAGAGGGGTTGCTCCAACACAAAGGGTGTTTGCTGCTACATCAAAGAGCAGCTAACTACATTGTTAGGACTTCAGCTGTTTAGACTTAGCATGCTCCACTGCATTCCCAGCCCAGCATGCTCCACTGCATTCCCAGCCCAGCATTCCCTACTTAACAGATAAGGAATTAGTTTGATGATTACATTATTTCCATCAAATGCTCCCCCTTTCAGCTATGTTAGTTGTCCTTTGTTGCTTTAGTGACCCCGTTTTCCAAGCCATTGAGTTTCCAAACATCAGTCCTCAGAATTATCCCATCAGGGAAACAGTTTTCAGATTTTAATTTATCTGGGGCCTTACAGGTATCTGGTTGCATTTCTTCACCTGTTAGCTTGCTTCAGGAGGTTTTACATGCCTTTGCTGCTGTTTTAATTGATTGCTTTGGCTTATTAGGAGAAGCCCAAATGCAAAGACCAGTGCCCAAGTACTCACCCACATTGTGCTGCCACACATTGCAGCAGCTCCAGAGCTTCCCAGACTTCAGAGGCAGGGAGAGAACTGCTTGGAAATTTTTGCTACAAAAATTTTGTTGCCTAATGACAAATGAGTTCAAACTGGAAAAGGTAAAATAAGTGCCATAGCTGAACTTTCAGAGGTCGGTCTTGTCTCAAGATACGGTCTCCCCACTGGAGCAGGAAAACAGAGTTGCCTTGTACAAAAAATGAGGCAGGATCATGACTCTGCTTTTCTCCTTCACGATATCATGGGCCAATATCTGTCCTTGTAACAAAGAAACTATAGGCACTTTAACTGGGAGTCATCCCTACACGATGCACCTGCTCATTTTGTCTCCTTCCATTTCAATATTGAACCAAGTTGCAGAGACAAATTCTGGCCCCATGGTATTACTCAAGGTGAACAGCTGAAGATTCAGATAGACATCTTCTGAATCAGCTTGCAGAGGCGAAGTAGCTAGATTAAAAGAACACAGGTGGGAGAGCGATAAATCCCGTGATCAGAGGCATTTACAACGAGCTATGAGACTCTGCTTTGTGCTGTTTGTTGCTTTAGGCTAGGATTTTTAAATCCCAGTCTTTGTTGTTTTCCCAGCTTTGTTTGCTCAAGGCAAAGTGATTGTTGAATACCTCACACAGAGGCCCCTGGTTCTGACTGGGACAGCCTGTAATATAAAACTTTAATGAGACACAGTGCCAGGATGGAGAGATATGTCATTCCAGCCTCACTGCTGCTGGTATTTCACTAATTTTACCATATGGTCCATGTCTGCAGTATGCTATTTTCCTATAGATTCAGCCTATATACCAAAGTATAGCAATACTTACACTAAAGGTCACATTTTGCTAAATTTATTCCCGTGAAGATGTGTCCTGTCAGATCTGACCAGCCCCCCAAAAAGCCACAGAAACCACACACATGATTTTCCTGGCTCCAAAGGCAGCATCATGGCCGGTTAAGCAAATTCCTTTTGACTGGCCTGACCGAAGGGAAGCGAGTAATTTCTGAAGCGTGGCTTGTAATGTAACTATCCCTGTCTGGCACAAGCTCCTGGACCACGGCTATTTTTACAATTCCCGTGTTCTGGCTGGAGATGTGATTGCTAAAGCGGCTGCCGTACCTCAGAAGGAAAGGGTTACTGCTGCGGAGCCGAGCGCGGCTCAGGCGCTGCAATTGTAGGATTGATGCGCCCTCCCGTGTACCAGCGCTGAAGTGTTTGCTCAGCCACGGCCTTCGGACATCAAGGCAGCCCTCTGGAGATTTGGGTTTGTTTGTTTGTTGGGTTTTTTGGGTTTTTTTGGGTTTTTTTTTTGTTTGTTTGGGGGTTTTTTGGGGGTTTTTTGGGGTTTTTTTGGTTTTTTTTCATCAAATAGCAACTCTGCATAACCTGTCATTCAATCTGCCGGAACTTATTGACAAAAAATTAATTTGGAAAAAACTGAGAAGCTTAGACTCGCTAAAGAGCAATAATAGTAGGGCTAGTCCTTCCCACATAGCTTTTTTTTGTTTATGCAGAGAACCCAGGTCAGAAAAATCAAGAATACATCCACCAAGAGATTTTGCTACTCCCAAAGAGGGTCTAATAAGACTTCATGTATCCACCTTTCATAAAATCAGTAAGATTTCTGTCAAATAGAGAAGGGTAAAGAAAGAAGTATTTCAAGGTGACAGTCCCTTTGCATGAACGTCTTTGAAGGAGTGTAGCACCAGCTGTACATTTTAATTTCAGGGAACCACAGCAGAGCTTAGGTAGAACCACTAAAAATCTTTTCATTTTTACTTACTTTGATTTTGAAACCATCACTGCTCCACTGATTCACCACAAAATATCAGATGAAAATAGCAGCCATCAATATCCATGGACAACAATGGGAATTATTGTGTTTTTCAAGAATCTATCTACCTCTTCCTATGAGAGTTTACTGTTAAATTGTAAGGTATCCACATTACAAAACAGTAATACAAGAATCTCCAAACTGCCCAAGAGATGCTCTTCACTGGCAAGGAAAAGGTCCTGAAGATAAATCTATTTCAAGTAGCAGAAGAGTTATGTCGGATATTCTTTGTCACAGCATATGCCACAGCATATATTGCAGTTGAGATGGCCACAATACACAGAGTACCACCATACAATTTCAGAAAGCTTCAACCCATGCAGAGTAACACCACCTCACTTCAGAAGGCTTTAAGCATCTGCCCTTCTTGCTCTTTAGCCCAACCTTTCACACCCCTCATGTTGATGCACTGCCCTGTGTGCCCTCTGTTCCCTTTGGTGTTGGTCAGTGCCCTGGGCACTCCCTGGCTCATTGCTGTCAGTGCTGCTCACCTGCTGCTCACAGCTGTGCCCACTGGGGATGGGGCTCAGCCCAGCCCCATCCCAATCACTACAAACTGTGTGCCTACAGTTTGTATTTTCCCTCAGCAATGGCATGCAGCAGGAAAGGGAGGCATTCCTATTGCCCATTTTCATGTAGCTGACTGATCCATCTCAGTTCTTGGCACAAGCCCTCAGTGACTGGGGGCAGGACAGAGGTTGGAGTCTGTCTCCCTACCTTTGTCTCCTTGTGGTCCCTGGAAGCAACTTAAAGGGATCCTCTGCACAATGCAGGCAATAAATTGGCATTTAAAGGTGGCACTGTGAATAATACCTGTTGGGTAACAACATAGCTGCTTCAGAAATATGCTTTGCCTTCCTTCTTTCTTTATCCTGCTGTCCAAGAAAATCAAATGGTCAGTATCTTTATTTGGTTAGAGATGTATTGGACTGCTTTCCTTTCAACAGATTATCCAGTCCGATTAAGTCTTGTCTATTTTTTTTCCTTTTTTCTTCTACAGAAAATAGTGGTATTTCTGTCCTTGGATCTTTTTCAGGCTATTTCTTTTCATCTCCTCTTGTAGTTAGGGAAATTCCAGATGCATTTTTCTTCTATTGATCTATTTTGCCTAGTCACCATAAATTTCAATGTTCTTCCTCTGCTGCATTTGTTCCATCAGTTGTCTTAACTGGCAGTTTCTTTAATAGTCCTTGTTCACATATGAGATTTTCATAGCTTTGAGCTACTTCATTTCTCTAGAGAGAAAATTAATTTGCACTTTAAACATAAGCAACACTTAGTCCCCATTCAGGCTGCTCTTACACTGTGGGCTGCCTCAGATCTATCAGGTTTGTTGTTGGTTTTTTGCCTGAATTTGTTTCTTTCCTTTATTAAAAAAGAATGTTGTAACCAGAACCTGGTTTCAGGTCCTGAAATGACACTCAGCCCAACCAAGAAAAGAAACCTACCAATTATTTCTGATGCTTAAATCACTTCCTTTTCAATAATCCAGAAGCTGGTGCTGTATCATTTTCTCATTCTGTAGCTCCTGTTAGTGTGCCTTAAAACACAGTTGGGGGGAAAAAAAGCATGTAAAGATGATTATAAAACAATGGAGATTGATGTTTGGGCCATTACTAAATTCTAAAATACATTTGATGCATACAATATAAAGTTACCACATAATATGACAGATTAGGAAGATTTTTTACAGTTCTAACACCTAGGGCCCAAAACTGGATTTGACAAAAAATTCAACAGTTCACACAAATGTTTTGCAGAGTTGTTTTTTGAACTGAGTTTAAAACCTAGCTGGTAGTGTTTACTAATCTCCAAGAGGTTGTCCAAAATACATGCTGGCCCTCAGGACCCCAACACTATCCTGTATTGGTTTGAAACCAATTTCTACTTGTTGGGGCTGTATCAATCCATTGATGTAATTTATAGGTAGCTTGCATGAGTTCCATGATATGTTACCAATTATGGCATCCATGCCCTCTAACCACTATTTTCCTCCAACCATTTCTGATATCTCTGAAGTTAGAAGAAAGTTGGTTTGTCCTGCCAGTTAGAAAGAAGTCTAACAAAATCTACATCAAGGGCCCAGAGCAGTTTAAGGAACTAAAGCAATAATTCAGAATGAAAAGAGGCATCTTCACAATGTTCCTGCTAAATAAAACTTGATGTATTTTTCCCTAGCTCTGCTTGATAATTTGAAATTAGGAGAGTACCTGTGCTGTCTTACAGAAAATTTCAACATCAATACTTTACAAGAGCATCGTATAAAATACAATCAGTGTATGCAAGTACCAAGACAAAAGATTGATGCTGTTAATTTAGTTCTGGAACAACAACTTAAAGTGGACTGGTTGGGCTCTGATACAGAGATGGGTTTCTAAACTAAGGAGGGGACTACATGGAAACCTGACATTTCTGAAGCTCTCTGTATCAAAGCTTGCCTTTTCTCCTGGCATGGTTAAAATACCCAACCCCACTCATAAAATTGAATGCAAGGTTTAAAAGAGCTCTGAGAACTAGCCTAATCTCTAATATGCAGACACTCTGTGTCACCTCCCATCACATGCAGGTACTTCTCAGATTGCTGTTGGATTCCTTCTAAACTTCAGCAATAGCCTCCAATTTTCCATTGCTAATACTGTTGCTTGATATCAGTGTACTTCAACAATGGTTTCACAACACTGAAGTTACTTTGTTTATCCCATGGGTTGATAATATGCTACAGGTGGGGAGGTTGTTTATTTTTGTTTTAATAAAGAACACAGGACACAATCAGGCCATTTTATTGCTAACATACTGTGTTCCCAAGAAACATGCAGGTATATGAAGTGAATGCATCGCACACTAATTTGTGGATTGGAAATCTGGCCAGCTAAGCAGGGCCTCCTCTGGACATTTGTCAAGTCCTTGGTCCTTGTCAGGTACCCCCATCCCAGCCAACACTCCCTGTAGTGCTCTACACATTCCATTCTCTGAGGTAGCATCTTTATCTTCCTTACTGTCTGGAAAACAGATTATACAGTTTGGATGCTACTTAAATGGGAAGAGTAAACCCGACCATTACTATTACTTTTGGTTAGACAGAATGGGAATTTGTGTCCTATACATTTTAGTTAGCAGCCTATAACATTTATTTACATAACAGGCGGTAGGAGGAAGATCACAGTGCAAAGATTCCATTTCAAAATGAAGTAATTTGTCAACATTTGTTTTTCCACTCATTTCAGTTTGCATGCAAGGATACTAAGTTTTATCTCTGGCTGTGCTACAGGGCTATAGTTTATTCACAGCAGGAGAGAGAGCAAATACAAACAGCAAGCTAATGGGCTGAGCCACCATCTAGCTGGAGCTGAAGCTTACCTTCAGTTGATGTCACAGTACAGTAGCTGCAGCAAACAAGTCAATGTGAGCTGCAGATTATAACTTATTTGGGCCATGAGAATGAATATAAGATTTGAAATTCAAGTGTGTATTTTAAGAATGTATCTGAGGCAGCTGGTGATTCTTTCTAATTTATGTACAGCAATGCTGTTTCAGACTGCAATTGTAGCAGCCACTTCAAAATACCAAAGTGGCAATGTTGA